CTGTAACATTTGGATTCACTCATGAGGCCACACTTAAGGACCTAGAAGGCTACATGTTCCCCATCCCAGCCTATGAGTTTATTGCTAGTATAAAGAAATAAAACAGATTTTCATATGTTTATTATATATTCTGTGATCTTGCTGAACATTCATTAGTTCTAGGAGGATTTTTGGGGGATGTTTCTTAGGATTTTCTCTCTATTGCCCTGGGTAGGGAGCCCATGGTGTCATAGCCCACACTCTTGGGCTCTAAGAATTCTCCTGCCTCAGCCTCCTGAGTAGCTGTGACTCCAGGTGCCTGCCACAACATCCAGGTAGTTATTCTATTTTTAATAGAGACAGGGTCTTGCCTTTGCTAGACCTGTCTCTATTTGCTAGTCTCTGAACTCCTGAGCTCAAGCAATCCACCGGCCTCAGCCTCTCAGAGTGCTGTGATTACAGGCATGAGCCACCATACCTCGCCGTTAGGATTTTCTATGTAGACACTCATGTCATATAAAGACAGAGTTTTTAATTTCTTCTTTCCTGATCTGTGTGTCTCTTTATTTCCTTTTTTTGCCTTATTATACTGACTAGAACTTCCACCACTATATTGAATAAGAGTGGACATCTTTGTCTTGTTCTTGACCTAGGAAGAAAGTATTCAGTTTTTCACCAATAAGTGTAATGTTTTATGTAGATTTTATGTCGATTCACTTTATCAAGTTGTGGAAGTTCCCATTACTTTTATTTTTCAGAGGGGCTTATTGTGAATGGATGTTGAACATTGTCAAATGTTTTTCTCTAAATCAATTGATATAATTGTGTAATATTCTTTGTCAGCCCATTCACATAATGGATTATATTCATTGTTTTTCAAATATAAGCCATACTTGGGTCATGGTGAATGATTGTTTATATATTGCTGAATTCTACTGGATAATATTTTAAGAGTTTTCTGTCCATATTCATGAGGGATGTTGGTCTATGTGTAGATTTCTTTATTCTGCTCTTTGTCTGATTTTATTATCAAATTAACATTAGAAAATGTTCCCTTCTGTTCTATTTTATGAAAAATAGTGTGTAGAATTGGTGATAATTCTTTAAATGTTTGGTAGAATTTTCCTGTGAAAGTCTTTCAGAGTGGAATGTTTAAGAATCAACTATAATTTTTCGACTTGGCACCTGTGGCTCAAGTGGCTAAGGTGCCAGCCACATACACCTGAGCTGGCAGGTTCGAATCCAGCCCAGGCTGGCCAAACAACGACAGCTGCAACCAAAAAATAGCCAGGCGTTGTGGCACATGCTGTAGTCCCAGCTCCTTGGGAGGCGGAGGCAGGAGAATTGCATGAGCCCAGGAGTTGGCGGTTGCTGTGAGCTGTGATACCACATGTGCACTCTACCCAGCTTGAGGCTCTGTCTTAAAAAAAAAAAAAAAAAAAAGAATCAACTACATTTTTTCTTCCACTTGAATCAATTTTTGCCTTATATGTTTTATAGATCTGTTTGGGTGGGCATACACATTTAAGATTTCTATGCTTTCCTGGTGGATTGAATATTTTTTATTGTTTAATGTCTCTCTGATAATTTTCTTTGATGTCTCCCTCTCTGTGTTGCTGGTAATTTTCTTTGATATAAAGTCTGTTTTATCTGATATCATAATATCCATTCCTGCTTTCTTTTTGTTAAAGTTGGTGTCATGTAACAACTTGGACTTTGGGTAACAAACACAAACAACGTAACCTAATCATTTGTACTCTCTTGCTAATGTAAAAAAAAAAGAAGTTTGCATTGTTTCTTTTCCCGTCTTTTACTTTCAGCTTGCCAATGTTATATTTGTAGTGAGGTTTCTGTAGACAACATATACTTGGGTTATTTAAAATTTGGGGGGGACTAGCTCATCCTTTAATTTTTATTTCAAAATATTATAGGGGTACAGATGTTTTTGGCTGTATGGATCACTTCTGTAATGCTTAAGTTAGGGTTATGTTTCCAGCACCCAAATAATGTTCATTGTACCCATTCTGTAGGGTTTTGTCCATTTCCTCCTCCTACCACCCCTTGCTGCTTGATTTCCACTAGTTTTTCTTTCCTCTGTGTACATGTGTGCTCATCAGTTAGCTCCAATTTAATAGTGAGTACATGCGATATTTGTTTTCCTATTCTTTAGATACTTCCCTGAGGATAATGATCTCCAATTCCATCCAAATTGTTGCAAAAGGCATTGATTAATCTTTTTTGTGTGGCTGAGTAGTATTCCACGGTATACATATAACACATTTTTAAAAATCCACTCATGAATCAATGGACACTTGGGTTAATTCCACATCTTTGCAATTGTGAATTGTGGTGCAATAAACATTTGAGTGCAAATTTTTTTTTTAATAAAATGACTTATTTTCCTTTAGGTAAATACTCAGTAGTTGGATTGCTGGATTGAATAGTATGTCTAGTTTAGTTCTTGGAGGAATCTCCATACTGTTTTCCAAAGAGGCTCTACTAATTTATAGTCCTAACCGTATATAACTATTCCTTTCTATCTCCACGCCAGCATCTATTGGTTTTGGCCTTTTAATAAAAGCCATTCTAACAGGGGGAAGGTGATCTCATTGTTGTTTTAATTTGCACTTCTCTGATGATTAGTGACATTTAATGCTTTTTATATTTATTAACCATTTGAATAGAAAATCTTCTTTTGAAAATTTTGTTCACTTTTTGTCCTTTTTTCCTTATTTACTTATTTGTTTATTATTGGGGATTCATTGAGGGTACATAGAACCAGGGGAGAGAATATTTGCAAGCTCTACATTTGAGAAAGGGCAAATAGCCAGAATTGACAAAGAATTCAAGCAATTGTTAAGTCATCCCTCTTATAATTATGTCCCACCCCCAAAAGGTGTGTCACACACTTTTGCCCACTTTTAAATTTTTTTTCCTTGCTGATTTGCTTCCTTGTAAATTCTGGCTGTTAGCCCTTTATCAAAAATGTAGAGCTTGCAAATATTCTCACTCAATATGTAGATTGTGTATTTGCTCTGTTGATTATTCCCTTAGAAATGTATAAGCTCCTTAATTTAATCAAGTCCCATTTATTGTTGCTATGATTGCCACTAGGTTCTTCTTCTTCTTTTTTTAATGATAGAGTCTCACTTTGTTACCCTTGGTAGAGTGCTGTGGCCTCACAACTCATGGCAACTTCCAGCTCTTGGGCTTAGGCGATTTTCTTGCCTCAGCCTTCTGAGTAGCTGGGACTATAAGCATCTGCCACAACGCCCAGCTATTATTATTATTATTATTTTTGTTAGTTTAGCCAGGGTCAGGTTTGAACCTGCCACCCTCAGTATATGGGGCTGGCACCCTACTCACTGAGTGACAGTCACCACCTTGCCACTGGGTTCTCATGAATTCTTTGCCTAGGCCAATATCTGTAAGAATTTTTCCTAGGTTTTATTCGAGCATTCTTATAGTTTTGTGGCTTAAAGTCTTTTGTTCATCTTCAATTTTTTGTGAGTGGTGAGAGATAGTGCTGTTTCATTTTTCTGCATGTGGCTATCCAAACAGCATCATGTATTGAATGTGGCTTTCCCCCCCAGTGTATATTGTTGTCTACTTTGCCGAGTATCATTTGGCTGTATATGGACAGTTTTGTATCTGAGTTCTCTGTTCTGTTCCATTAGTCTGTCTTTATTGCCTAGCCTCCTGAGTAGCCCGGATTACAGACACCTGCCACAACACCCAGCTATTTAGGCAGGGTCTTGCTCTAGCTCAGGCTGGTCTTGAACTTGTGAGGTCAGGCAATCTGCCTGCCTTGGCATCCCAGAATGCTAGGATTATAGGCATGAGCCACCACTCCTAGACAATGTTAAAAATTTTAATTTTCTTTTCTAAGAAAGTGCATCACTCTGTTACCAGGTTAGAGTGCAGTGGCATCATCATAGCTCACCACAAACTCAATCTCCCAGGCTCAAGTAACCGTCCTCCCCTAACCTCCCAATCACCCGGCACTATGGGTGCCTGTCACAACACCTAGCTATTTTTTTCTTATTTTTAGTAGAGATGGGGGTCTCTTGCCCAGGCTGATCTTGAACTCCTGAGCTCCAGGGATCCTCCCACCTTAGCTTTCCAGATTGCTAGGATTATAGGCCCTGAGCCCCACTGTGCCTGACCACTTTGATTTCTTTTTTTTTTTTTTTTGCAGTTTTTGGCTGGGGCTGGGTTTGAACCTGCCATCTTTGGCATATGGGGCTGGCGCCCTACTCCTTTGAGCCACAGGTGCTGCCCAATTCCTTTTTAATAAAAAATTTCCAAATAACATGAACTCAAGAGGGAAGGGATGCCAGAAAGTATAAAGATACAGTATACATAAGATTAGGAAGGGGGAAAATAAGACTGTAAAAGGAAATGGACACCTTTGTTACTGACACTATGGTCTTGCTTTTAACATATAATTTTCTAGGGCGGCGCCTGTAGCTCAGTGAGTAGGGCGCCGGCCCCATATACCAAGGGTGGTGGGTTCAAACCCGGCCCTGGCCGAACTGAAACCGAAAATAGCTGGTCGTTGTGGTGGGTGCCTGTAGTCCCAGCTACTGGGAGGCTGAGGCAAAAGAATCACCTAAGCCCAAGAGCTGGAGGTTGCTGTGAGCCACGGCACTCTACAAAGGCAACAGTGAGATTCTGTCTCTAAAAAAAAAAAATGCAATTTTCTAGGTTTGATATGGATAAATTTGTATATATTTAAACTTATATGCTAAATTTATTTTTAAATCTCTGAAAATGGTTACATGACTATGGTTTAAGTTCCTGAGAATTATGCAGGCACTTAAGAGTGAGAATAATTGCTCTGTCCTCTTGTTTAAAAGTTGTATTTCTCAGAATCATAACAATTAAGCTAAATAAACAAAATTACTAAAGCAGAAGAAAACATGACTTCTACAAACACCTGAAAAGAAAAACCCATTTTGTCCAAGAAGCATACAAATTTTTACTTACAGTAGTTAATTCTTTAAAATTATTAAAAGGCAGACAATGACAATAGGTTTAATTCTAGCTTTATTCAAAATTTGAACTTCAAATGAAATAATTCGACACTGATAGTATAAGAATACAATCAAAGACTGCAAACAACCTAATTCATTTTCCGAGTTTGCTCCAGCCTCCAGGCACCCGTCAAATATCTAAGTCGTATAAAAAGTAGGTCCTTGCCCATTTGTAGCCAGCTCCAAAATGGAACTAGTTTAGAACCTGCAATTTAAAAAGAATTATTTTATTATTTAACAAAATAACAGATGACCGCATAGTGGCAGAGAGTTGAATGATGGATATCAGAAGCTGGGAAAGGGATGTGTGTTTATGTGTGTGGGTAGAAGAGGTTGGTTAATGGGTAGGTACATACAGTTAGATAGAAGTTTTATGTCCTAATGTTCAAAAGCAGAGTAAGGTGACTACAGTTAACAACAACATGTAGTCTATTTCAAAGTAGCTAGAAGAGAAGATCTGAAATGTTTTGAACACAAAAATGTGTTCAAGGTGATGGATACCCCAAAAGTCCTGAGTGGTCATTATATCTTCCATGTGTATAATAAATACTCACATGTACCCTGTAAATATGTAAAATATTATGTATCAATAAAAAATTTCATAGCCAGCAGGGCCTGGGAGGCCAAGACAGGCAGATTGCTTGACCTCAGGAGTTCAAAACCAGTCTAAGCAACCGTCTCTACAAGAAAGAAAAGAAAGAAAGAAAGAAAAAAACTAGCTAGGCATGGGAGCTCATGCCTGTAGTCCCAGCTACTCAGGAGGCTGAGGCAAGAGTTTGAACTTGAACCTAGGAGTTTGAGGTTGTTGTGAGCTTTGATGACACCAGGGCACCTAACCAGGGCATCAGAGTAAGATTCAGTCTAAAAAAAAAAAAAGATTTTTTTTCATTGCCATTTTAATTATACTTTATCTTCAAGGAAGAGCTTTTCCACTGCTCTAAATATAATATAAATTTAGCTTTCTTATGAAAACACTACCACTAAAGCACTTTGTAGACATTACCCTTATTCTGTGTAATCAATCAGGTACCATATTTTTTTTTTATTACTTTTTTAACTACCCAATACCTGATGAAGCACATTATTTCTTTTTTTTTTCTTTTTTATTTCAGGGGATATTTTCTTCATTTCATAAATGAAGAAGTTGAGATACCTATAACTTATATTACAACACAGCTGTCTCTCTAACACCAATGAGCAAGTGACATAAACATGAACTGATTTTTGCTTTCCCCCATCTCATGGTCCTGTAGAGTCTATGTTGGGCATAGATCAACACAAATAGATGAACAGAGCTGGTCATTATACTTCTGAGCAATCCTTCTATCTGCTTCCCAATCTTTTCTGATTTTAGGCTGTAGAGGAGACTTAACTTCTATAAACTCAGTTTGATTCAGCAAGACACCAAGATGTTTGAATTCATTCTAGACTATATAGTTTGTATAATCTCAAGACTGGTTCTTAATTTTTTTCTGTCTCTAAGCATCTGAGGTTACAGAGTAATAAAGGCTTACTTTAACAATGACTCTCAAAGAGAGGGCTGTGATCACCAGGGAGAGGTGGACTTTGATAAAGTCTCTAGTTGATTATGTTAACTGCTCCTACACCAGGAATTAATTGAGGTTCATTCTGGCTCTGCGCCTGTATCTCAGCAGCCAGGATACCAGCCACATACACAGGAGCTGGGGGGTTCAAATCCAGCCTGGGCCAACTACAACCAAAAAACAGCCAGGCATTGTGGCGGGCACCTGTAGTCCCAGCTACTTGGGTGGCTGAGGCAAGAGAATTGCTTAAGCCCAAGAGTTTGAGGTTGCTGTGAGCTGTGATGCCACAGCACTCTACGCAGGGCAACATAGTGAGACTCTTGTCTCAAAAAGAAAAAAAAAAATTTTGAGGTTCATTCTAAGGTAAGCAAAGGAGAAAAAAAGAATATATCTCAAATTCTATATAGCCTATATATTCTCTCCATATATTCTATATTTCAGAGCTGCCCAAGTGTTTCCAAATAGGAATTACTAAGACTTCAAATTATAGAGTTTAGACATCTTGACATTTTTGGATGGATGGATGGATCACTAGATAGATAGGTAACAATTTAAAAATGGCTCTGAATTAACTGAACATTTTCAGTAAAATATTCCTTATTTAGCTTTACATAGTGGTTTGTAGGTACTTAATTTCACTTAGTGACAAAAAAGCATAATGAAATGGGGATGCAAACAATGAAGTTTATCTCAAAATACTATCGACCTTGCTTCTAACCTCAGGCCACCACGACCTTGTCTATTGCAGCAGGTTTTACTGAAATTTCTTGGTCAGGACGGTAGGCCTACTGAAGGCCCCAGGAAAAGAAAGAAACATATAGAAGGCAGCAAGCCAGAAGGAGGGGCTTATAGGCAGTACTGTCTAAGGAGCAGGCTCTCAAGACAGCTGAAAAGGCCTTGATGAAGGGAGTGGGAGAACATTAAAGTCAGCTGACTTTACTGGGCAACTGTATTGTCTAACATCTCCCAACTTTGCCTAAAGAGATCAGTGAAAAAATAAACAATATGGGCAGCGCCTGTGGCTCAGTGAGTAGGGCACTGGCCCCATATGCCGAGGGTGGCAGGTTCAAACTCGGCCCTGGACAAAGTGCAAGAAAAAAAAAACAGCCGGGCATTGTGGTGGGCGTCTGTAGTCCCAACTACTTGGGAGGCTGAGGCAAGAGAATCGCCTAAGCCCAGGAGTTGGAGGTTGCTGTGAACTGTGACGCCATAGCACTCTACCAAGGGCGACAAAGTGAGACTCCGTCTCTAAAAAAAATAAATAAATAAACAATACTAACCTTCAATTTCAGTCCAGTTGACAGCAATTTCTGCTATTGGAATTTTGAAGAACTGTGCTATATAAAGCAGTTCTACATCAAATGCCCTAAAATAGAAAACAAATTCATATTTATTTTTAAAAAGACAAATAGAACATTAATTAGATCTCTACTTTGGCATGTTGTAAAGAAGCTTACACAGCAGATGTAAAGCTTATACTATAAAACTGAAGATCAGATTCACAGAGATCAAACAGTTAAAAGATCAGTAGTTCAGAAGCTCTAAGGCAAATAATGTAATTTAGTATGTCACTGTGTAACATTTAAATAAGAAACATTACAGCTGTACAACAACTCAGAAACTTTCAGAGGTAAAAATGCATGGGCTCCAAGATTTAATGTTGGTAATTTTCAAGACTGATGTTTTCAATCTCAGCCTTAACTAGCTCAAGGTACAGAACTGACAGCATTTCAACTGATTCAGAGCTGACAAAATAGAACTCTGGGAAGCTCTAAAGAGAATGTTCTCAATCGCTGTAGAGTTGCTTAGTTATCTTCTTCATCACCAAAAGATCAAGGCTTCCCTTCTAATACTGGGGCCCTGTCTTCCCCTTTCCCTTTCCTGTGCTATCCCAGAAAATAGAGATAGTCTCCAAGTTATAAACATCCAACTTTATGTATAACTCACATGAGCAGGGGCTATTACAAGTGGTAAATGTTCGTATTCCAGCATACATACAAATTCAACTTAAGAACAAACCTACAGAACTTATCTTGTTCATAATCTGAGGACCTGCCTGTATTGGCAGTGAAAGTGAAAAAGTACTTTACTCCAGACCAAAATGCTCTTTGGGTATAATGAAATACACACACAGGAACTGGATATAGTATTGCTTGTTAGTAGTCCTAACACACATTCTAAAAACCATTTCTATTCTAAATCCTTAGTCATCCTTCCTTCTACTCATGAAAAGGACTTTTTTAAAGCTCCTCTGCAGTTAGTCCCTTGGTTTTGGTCAAAACCACTTTCCCTAAAGGCTTTGAATCCTGACTCAGAAGTTTTCCTGATTCTGCTTATAAATTTTCTGCAGCTGCTTCTTTCACTGGAATTAGGTCCAGGAAGAAAAGCGTCATTATCTGTTAAACCTTTGTGATGCTCCTCTGAGTGTTTAAATCAGGGGTCCTCAAACTTTTTAAATAGGGAGCCAGTTTACTGTCCCTCAGACCATTGGAGGGCCGGACTGTGGGCCCCGGGACAAGTCGGTTGCTAAGCAGCACAGGCAGCGGTGGCAAAAACACCTGGTGGCCCGATAAATGTCCTAGGTGGGCTGCATGTGGCCCGCGGGCTGTAGTTTGAAGATGCCTGGTTTAAATCCTGTGCTGTTTTGCTCCTATCTTTAAATTATGTAGCCCTCACTCTCCAGGCCAGACCTTGGTTGTAAAACATTAACTGGCACAGACTAGAAGATGCCTAAAGCCCACTTCTGTTTGATCTCAGACAACTTGAATTTGGGAGTTTTGTTTTGCTTTTGTCACAACATTATCACTATCCATTAGGTAACTAGTTGAAATCCCAAGTATTTGGATAATTCAATATGCAAACTAATTTTTAAACAATGCCTTTTCTTATCCTAATAAAATACTTGGAGTTAACAAAAATACCTATAAAAGTGGGTTCTTTGTGTTTTTAAAAGGACTAACTACTGTTTACTTCTGTTAACTAGACTTGTGATACTCATGAAAGGAGATTATTTCAAAATTAAACCTGGTGCTCAACTCTTAACTGTCTCTTTTAACACAAAAACAAAATTATTAGCTAGTGAGCTTAGTTCTAATGATACTTATAACACAGCTTTGAACAATAACTTAAACAAGACTATGAAATAGTTTCCTAAGGATTTCAATATATAGCTAGTAACTGATCCAAGACAAAAGAAGCAACTTAGAAATGATGAATGAAAAACAGGGGGTGAATTAAACAATAATTAACTGAAATCACTTTCTATTTTTAAAAAAACCCTCTATAGACCAAAAGGATTTTTAGAATTACATCATTTTACTCTGAAACATTTCAGAAGACATGAAGATACTATAAAAACCCCTGCAACTCACATCACTGTATTCTAAGTGCCCAATGTGTTACCAAAGCAAATATTTTAACTAAAATACCAAGTACTCCCAGACGCAGTGTAAGAGCTATTTGCCAGCTATGATGCCTTCATTTGTTTTTGCAAATGTGGTTGGGCAAAGCCACCATGTTTCCTTTTGTGACACAGTTCCCTGTACAAGTGTTATCCTACTAACAGATACATTCCTAAAGAACAAAAAGATGTTGAGACTCTATTAGACATAGCAGATAGACGAGGAAGGACCCTGCTGAAATCCTACTAGAACTAAAGCAACAATAATAGAATAAACAGACAAGAAGAGGGAAGGGAGGAAAATATAACAGTAAAAAGAAAACTGGAAGCTGTAAAGTAGCTGGACATGTGGTAACTAGGAAAGGTAGAAAGGTGGCCAAGTGCAGTGGGAGAAGGGTGCCAGAGAGCCACCCAGCAGCTTAGGAACCAGGCCTCAAACGGATTCTGCAGGTGGGGCTGCAAACAGGAGGACTCACTGCATATCTGTATCAGCTCTTCCTTCTCCTCATGCCGTCTGCTTTTTAGTTCTCCGAAGGTTGACAGCCAGTCTCATGGCTCCTAGGCAGGAATGAAAATGACCAGCCTAGTGGTAGTTGGGACTTTTTTACACAAGGCTCTGTTAGTTTAAACTGTAGTGAAATCTTCCAGTCAGTCAAAGGTTCTGCCCATGCACACAGATTCTGATGAGGGTTTTAGTGCCATTCTAAGATAGATGAAGAAAGAATTTGGTGATGAAAGGGAACAAGAAAAAAATTGGAAGCAAGAGAAACAATGGAGGGGAAGAAGATAATGACAGTGTTTCAAGTGATGCATTCAGAGGCAGTGGAAGATGCTGCAGTCACCGAACAAGAATAGATGTTTTAAAAAATTAATACTGAAAAATAAAAGAATTCTAGGAAATGAAAATTGTGATAGAAAAAAAATTCAAAAGTTGGTATGGATGATAAAATTGCGAAAGTCTTAGGAGAACAAAAATAGAAAAGATAAAATTATAGTACCAGTAAGGAGGTCCACATCCATCTGTATGAGAGAACAGAGAAAATGGGGAGAGGCGATTGTCAAAGAAATGATTAAAGACGTGGGAAGTTTTTTGCTATATGTACAAAGTAGGGATACAAGTGGGGCTGCAAACAGGAACTCAGCGAATATCCATATAAGAGTTTTCCCTCTGGTCTGGTGTTCCATACCATTGTTGGATGACTACAGTTAATAATAATATATCATACAAAGTTTCAAATAGCTTGGAGAAGGATATTGACCATTTCCAATACAAAGAAATAGTGTTCGAGATGATGGAATGCTTATTACCCTGAACTTATCACTACATATTATCCAGGCATCCTCAAACTACGGCCCATGGGCCACATGCAGCTGGCCTAGGACATTTATCCGGCCCGCCGGGTGTTTTTGCCGCCACTGCCTGTCCTGCTTAACAGCCAACTTGTCCCGGGGCCTGTAGTCCGGCCCTCCAACGGTCTGAGGGACAGTGAACTGGCCCCCTGTTTAAAAAGTTTGAGGACCCCTGATATTACCTGTACTAAAATGTCACAATATGCCCCATAAATGTGTACAATTATTGTCAATTAAAATAAATAAAAAATTGATTAAAGAATATTTCTCAGAACTAAAGGACACAGAAGACAAAAGAAGCAACTTAAAAATGATGAATGAAAAGCAGGGGGTGAATTAAACAATGATTAACTGAAATTACTTTCTATTAAAATAAATAAAAAATTGGGGCGGCACCTGTGGCTCAGTAAATGGGGCGCCGGCCCCATGTAACGAGGGTGGTGGGTTCAAACCTGGCCCCTGTCAAACCGCAACAAAAAAATAGCCAGGCGTTGTGGCGGGCGCCTGTAGTCCCAGCTACTCGGGAGGCTGAGGCAAGAGAATTGCCTAAACCCAGGAGTTGGAGGTTGCTGTGAGCTGTGATGCCACTGCATTCTATCGAGGGCAATAAAGTGAGACTCTGCCTCTAGGAAAAAAAAAAAAGTAAATAAATAACTGATTAAAGAATATTTCTCAGTGGCATTGGGAAGGCTGGATATCCATATGCAGAAGAATAAAGCTGTACCCTTTCTCACACATGTACAAAAATTAACTCAAAATGGATTAAAGACTTGAACCTAAGATCTGACACTGTATAGCTGCTGGAAGAAAAAAGGGAAAAAACTAAGATTTGGATCATACAGTTTTTGGTCAAATACTGGTCTGGGCCAAGACTTTTTAGAATGGGCCCCCAAAGCACAGGCAACAAAAGCAAAAGTAGATAAACAGGATTAAATCAAACTAAAAATCCTCTGCACAACAAAGGAAACAACTAATAGAGTGAAGAAATAATCTATGGATTGGAGAAAAGATATTTGCAAGCCACACGTCTCGTAAGGGGCTAATATCTAAAATATATAAAGAACTCAACTCCACACACAAATAATCCGATTAAAAAACAGGTAAGAGACTCAAATAGATATTTCTCAAAAGGTAATAAACAAAATATGAAGAATGCTCAACGTCACTAATGTAGGGAAATGTAAATTAAAACCAAAATAAGATACCACCTAACACCTGTCAGAATGACCATTATCAAAAGGCACGTGCTGGCAAGGATGAGGAGAAAAGGGAACCCCGGTACACTGTTGATGGCAGTGTAATTAGTGTAGCTATTACGGAAAACTATATGGATGGTCCTCAAACTAAAAACAGAATTACTGATCCAGCAATCTCACTTGAGTACCCAGAAGACTTGAAGCAAGTATATTGAAAAGGTATCTGCACTTCCATCCTCACTGCACCACTACTTGCGATAGCCACATGGAATCAACCTTAAGTGTCCCTCAACAGATGAATAAAGAAAATGTGGATTATATACATAAGAAATACTATCCAGCCTTAAAAAGAAAGAAAATCTGTCATTTGTGGCAATGTACATGAAACTAGAGATTATGCTAATTGAAATAGGCCAGATC